GTTATCTATATTCTATTGTGAATAAAATATAAGTTTATGAGATTTGTAAATTATTCCATTCCGTTTTTACTCACAATTTGTACAGTGTCCCAACTTTTTTGGAATCGGGTTTGTACTTTATACTTATACTTTACTTTTATTTCACACGTTGCATGCTCGTAGATTCTTTTGCGCTTTAGTGAAATGATATACAGCGTGCGCCACCGCATTTGCGTGTGCAATTGAATTGTGCAGTATAACATCTGACAGGACAGGATATTTCGTTTTTCTGAGGTGAGAGACTTTCTATTTCATAACAAGTTACAAAAATAACGATAGAATAATGAGACTGACATTAAGCCTGACAACATCTCATCTGAAAACAGATACTGAATGGAGTCAGCATGTTTTTCCCAGGCAGTCTTTACTTAAACTGCAAAAAAAGTGTCAACAGCTTTCACGCACATATTTCAAAATAAAAGTCTTGCATCAGAAAAAAAATTAGAATTACGTTTTGTTGTCGATGTTGTTTCTTTGACTGTACACTCCACGACCTACTCAGAACGGTCTTGCGACCCACCAGTTGAGAAACACTGCTATAGAATACATTTAAAAAAATGTTTTATGTAATTTATGTAAGAATTTATGTAATTTTCCACTATACACAGAAGAAAAAATTGAGTATGAATGTTATCAGGCCATTCCTGCTAACAGCAATTGTTATTATTATTGATAATGATATACAATATATTTTAATATAATATATAATAATAATCATAATCACAATTATTATTATTAAATACATTTAAAAAAAGAATTGTTAATTGTTAATTATGTATTATTATTATTTATTAAACAAATTATTTTATTTAAAAATAAACACACACACACACACATATACATACATATATATTGTGATTGCAGGAATTTAACTAATATGGTTTCCATCTAATATATTCTAAGTTCTTTATTCAGTATAATATTTTATTCAGTATAAGACAAAATATATGACTGGGACATGAAAATGTAGTGCATAGTGGGAATGACCCAGATTCAGTTAGCATCTGACATTAAAGTCATCAAAGGGTTTGTTTATCAGTCATTCGTTGCTGCCTTTTCCTGTGCTTTTAATTAAATTCCAGGACAAACTTTATAAATGCCGCTCCAAATGTTTGAGTCGTGAATGCTGCAGCGAGTGAGTAAACTTTAAACTCATATCTCGCTCAGACAAACACTAACATTCAACACTAATCCCAACAGCTGACCTCATTCAAATACAGCTGCATTTAGTTTATTCACAAGCATTTTGAATATTGATGTACAACAAGCCAAACCACTGATTAGCTCAAAAACATACGAGACAGTACATCTGCATTAATGCTAATACTGAACTGGAGTCAGTGAAAGCATGTTGACGGTGCATCAGAGCGTGTTTTGATGGCTGTTTGACTGCTGTGCTCAGTGTGAATGGGGAATTCATTCACATTTGAGTTTTGATATTAGCTTGTACAGCGAACAGCGTGATGCTGAGCTTTTAAATATGAAACAACTCGATCAAGAAGTGCTCAAACATACCGACGCAAATAAACTCCTAAGCATATGCTCACACCCACACACATATACAACTTTACATTTGCATTTATGTATTGGCAGATGCTTTTATCCAAAGTGACTTGTACTGCATTGAAGGTATGCATTTTATCAGATCATACAGTCTCTAGGAATCGAACCCATGATCTACTGCAGGGGTTCTCAAACCTTTTGTCAGCACTGAATGTTAGTGTTTGTCTGAGTTAGATGCTGTAAATTTACTTACTCACTGCATCATTCAGGACTCAAACCTTTAGAGCAGGGGTGGCCTGAAGAGCCGCAGACCTGCAGAGTTTTGCTTTCTACCTTGATAAAAACTCACCGCCTGTAGCTTTCTAGTAACACTCAGAATTTGATTAGCTTGTTCAGGTGTGTTTATTCAGGGTTGGAGCAAAGCTCTGCAGGAATGTGGCTCTCCAGGACTGTAGTTGGCCATCCCTGCTTTAGAGAATCAAGTTTGTTCCCTCAATTCATAAAGAGCAGGAAAAGGGCAGTAATAAATGACTGATAAACAAACACTTTTATGACTTTCATATCAGATTCTGTCTTACACCGAACAGAACCTGTGTGTGTGTATATGTGTGTGTGTGTGTGTGTGTGTGTGTGTGTGTTTGTGTGTGTGTGTGTATAATTTATTTCATGCCCCATATGTATTATGATTTATATACAAAATCAAATTTGACATAGGAGTCAATTCAGAAAAACAAATAATATATTTAATCATTTTTAGTAAGTGTTTTATTTTAAATTATAGTATAGGGATGCACAATTTGATTGAAAAATATTTTGTGCTTATTTTGTCATATATTGTGGTTGACAATTGAAGTAGACACCAGTGTTGGGGAAAGTTACTTTTAAAAGTAATGCATTACAATATTGCGTTACTTCATAAAAAAGTAACTAATTACGTTACTTAGTTACTTTTTATGGAAAGTAATGTGTTACGTTACTTTTGCGTTACTTTTTAAATCTGGACAGGGCTTGCTGGTTTGTTTTTAAAATAAAAAAGTTATATTTTTGGCAAATATAAAAGCCTTTCACACCAAAAGTGAAATGAATAAGCCTCAGGCTGAAGGGAAAGTACAGTAGAATGCAGAAGAAGACATTTCAACACACTTCAGCAATAAACAAAGACACACAAATGTTTGTCTAGAGTAATTTGTGCTTATTAGTACACTTGAACTGAATCATCGAAGCTCAGAAGCAAATAGAATGGGATTAAATGCATAAAGCATATTTGTGTTGTTTAACATTTAATTATTTGCAGGTTTGCGTCATATTCTGAGTTGCATTATTTTTATTCATTTTGAGGAATACTGAATCTGTGTTTTTTGTGTGAGTGAGATGAATTAATGCATATTCATATTTATTTTAGGACTACAGTAACATCTTCTGATTTCTCTCAGCATGGGGTCAGGAGTGCTGTCAGTCAATAAATTGCAAAAATGTAACTTGCGTTACTGATTTGAAAAAGTAACTCAGATATTCTCTTGTAAATTAAAAAAGTAATGCGTTACTTTACTAGTTACTTGAAAAAAGTAATCTGATTACGTAACTCACGTTACTTGTAATGCGTTACCCCCAACACTGGTAGACACTTAAGGGTGTTCACACTTTGGTATCTTTCAGTGATAGTATTCAAACTAAAAAAACAGTAGGTGAAATGTATCTGGATGATGTACTGTACTTCTTCTGCACACTGGTAGTTTGTGTGACAGTAACAACATGGCTGAAGTAGTACGTCCAGATTTAATTCATACTACTCATATTCATACTATATGAACATATTTTAACAATCATGAAGTAAGATTCCAACCAAATATAGTACCTGCTAAACAGTATGTGATTTCTGATGCAACCAATGTGCATCAAAAAAAAAAAAGTGTCATATATTGTAGCTGCATCCAGGCAAATATAACAAACAGACCACAGTCAAATTGAAATTGAGTTGCCTTTTAAAGGTGTTTACACCTGGGTCCAGTCTTTACAAGAACAAACTAAGACTTCAAACCAAATGATTTCGGACGTAAACATGCAGCGCACCAGGCCAAATCACAGCCTTTTGCAATTTAAAAACATGAAGCCATATCACAATTTCAATTGCAGCCCTATTAATTTAACATTTCATATTTTTACTAATTTTTAGCCTTTCATCAACTCTCAACCCCTTTTTGCATTTGTGAAATCTTGCTCTAGTGTATAAGCAACAGGAATACATATTTTAATTTCCAACATTCGTAGACATATTGATAATCTCTAATTAAAGGGGTCATGATGATGCAATTTAAATTTTTCCTTTCTCTTTGGAGTGTTACAAGCTCTTGGTGCATAAAGAAGATCTGTAAAGTTGCAAAGACTAAAGTCTCAAATCCAAAGAGATATTCTTTATAAAATCTAAGAGTCAACCACGCCTACCTAAAACGGCTCGTTCCAACACATGTCTACATCACAATGTGGGAAGATTTGCATAACGCCGCCCAAATGTTCATGAAAAGAAAGAAGGCGTAACTTTTATTCTCGCTGTAGTATTGTTGCTGCCGCCATGTCGTGAAGGCGCTGTGTGTTTCTTTGTGAAAGCGAAACTACTTTGTTTGGCCTTCCAAAAGAGGACGATATCCGCTTTGTCATGCCTGGAGCTGATCCGTACTGGTCGCTGAGGAAATACATCAACTTCGCGCTGTGGATCATCGGATCGGCTTTCACCGTGGACGAAGCGGAGACCAGCCCGGGGTCGTCACATGTGGTTGCCGCAAACCCACCGGCCAGTATACAGTATAGGTCATTATAATCTGTAATTATGTCCCCACTGGATGCAACAAATGCCTCGTTTATAATGGGTTTTAATGTTTTTGTCTCGTCGGTCCGGCCGGGACACAGCATCACAGTATGGTGAGGGGTGTAACATTTCCGTCACACGCTTGAGGTATTCGGCCAATCACAATGCACTGGATAGCTGGCCAATCACAGCACACCTCGCTTTTCAGACCGATGAGCTTTGTAAAAATCAACACGTTTCAGAAAGGCGGGGCATAGAGAAACAATAATGTACTGTATGTGGAAAATAATGTGTTTTTTTAACCTTAAACCGCATAAACACATTTCATTACACCAAATAAACTAAATAATGTTCTTTTTAGCAACATCATATGACCCCTTTAAGATTAACCTGTTGCCATGGTAACTTATTTTAAATTTTTGGAACATTCCAAAAATAATTCCCCATTCATGAGAAAAAAAATAACTAATCCTTTTAGAACCACATTCATGTTCCATTCACATGGTAACATGTGGAAAATGTAATTTTGATTACTATGTAATTTTGAAAAATGTAATGCTGACCTCCCCCAAAAAAACGGTAATACCATGGTACATTTTAGTTAGTGTGTAAAACATGGCATTTCCATTGAGAACACAGAAGTGCCGCCACCTACCGTGGTTGGTTTTGTTGTGCACTGGTGTGTAGTGGTTCTTGGACGTCCGTACAGGCGTGTTTTCTTTGGGCGAGGTGTCAATAGCGGCGATGTTTTCATGATCGTACTGTGATATGGGAATGGGCCCCTGCTGTCTCAAAATGTCCGTCAGCGCTCTGCAGGGGGGAAAAAAAGTCGAAGATAATTTCACTGCTCTCAAAAAGAAAGAACACCATCCAAATTCGGCTCAGCTTTGAAAAAGACTTGTTTAGTGTTTCATCCAGTTTAAAGATACAAACACATCAGTCCCCCCAAGAGGTTTAAGCCAATTTGCCCCTTTTATGCTATTGTTTCTGTTGTTTTCCCATTTGTGGAGGTTCTTGCCTCATGCAACCAGCAATCCTTTTCTCTCTCTCTCTCTCTCTCTCACATACACACACAACTTTAATTGCACTTTGTGTTACAATGAACAGTGGAGGTTTAGTCTCTCAGGTTTTCAGGACCTCAGGCCTGCTAGCTCTACAGCAGCAAACAAAAGCCATTAATCAATGTTCCTTCTCAATATTGCGTTAGAGCAACACATCCCACTTACACCAGCCTAATGGGATTCAAATTCTATTAATGTTTTTGCTCTTTGGCCCGAAGGACATGCTTTCTGACTCGAGACCCAACTGCCTCATGGATTTTCTGCGCAGCGGCAATCTGAGATTGTGCTGGCTGGAGTTAATGGTGTTTTCTCACTAATGCAGTTTTCGGGTTTCATCAAGCAAACTTGGTCATTCCAGACGAACTTTGTAACTTTGGGATAGTGTTGCCTCAAGGCTGATTTATACTTCTGCGTCGGACCTACACCGTAGGCTATGCGTCAGTTTTCATTTATAATTCTGCATTGTTGTCCGTGTCGATGTGCAGTACACACATGCAAACTGCTAGTCTGCAGTGTCCACGGGCATGTTGCTGGTGTAACCCACAGTACCACGGCAAAAGCCAAAGAAGAAGCAGCTCGTTGGAGAAGCATTATAGCCATGACGGCGGCAAATAAATATCAAATTGTTAAATCATTATTTAAAACTACAAAAAGGAGACAACAACGGAACAGGAGACGATGGCATTCTTTCAAATCTCCACAAGGACTTGTACCAAGGCAGATAAACATTGTTTGTTGCGGACAACTACTGATGTATAATGCTATGTAGTATAATAAATGATACATAATAAATTATATAATAAAAGACACTTGTTCTTTGCTTTGTTTTATCTAATATAAGAAGGTGTAACATTAAAATATATTAAAGTGCACACAAACCTCAAGTACATACGGAGGGAGGGGTTCTCACAGACCAAGCATAGCGCTTGCGGTCCGCGTAGAATTGACGCGCTGTTAGATTTTTGGAGAGGTGCACGTCAGGCTACGGCGTAGGTTGTGCGTCTATGCGTAGGCTATGACGTATGTAGGTTCGACGCAGAAGTATAAATTGGGCTTCAGTGCTTAAAAATCTAAGTTGGAGACCAAAAGGATGAATAACTACATGTTTGAATAAGATCTGACAGCTGTAAAAAGATAAATTAAATAAAAAATACTGTAAAAGACTGTAACAATGCTACAGTAAAAGTAAAAGTTCACTTACTCTATATGGTGAAAAAACTTAATAAATATATTGAGGTATTCCATGAAATTTTGCAACAAAATACTGTTCAATTTGTCATGTTTGTAAGTGAAAAAGAACAAGCCATCTTTGAATTTACCATAAAACTGACTTTCTCAGAATGGGGCCTCAACTTTTCACTGCAGATGAACTTTGTAACTTTGGGACAGTGTTTCTTTTAGAGGTGAAAGACCAAAATGTTGCAGGTTCCTTATTCATGTTTGCACATATTCAATCTTGTGTGAAGATGCACCAGGTTTCAGCTGGTTTTAAATGGTTACAATGTGCAAAGCACGAATAAGTTCACTTGTCAATGAGATCTGAGAGCTGAAAAATTATCATAATTGTAATAGTAAATACTGTAAAAATACTGTGGTAAAAGCTCCCTTACTCTATACAGTGAAAAACAGCAGATCTAATGGGACATTTCATGTAATTTTACAGCAAAATACTGTTAAATTTACACTTTTTGTAAGTGAAAAAGAACATCTTATAATTTACAGTAAATAACCATAAAATTGACACCCCCAAAATGGGACTTTAACATTTTCACTTTAGATGAACTTTTGATGTATTTGATGCAATTTATAGATCTTTTTTGGATAGTGTTGTTAAGTGGTTAAAGATTAAAATTGGTGACCAAAATAGTGCAGGTTTCTTATTGTCACGAATTCGGTTCATGGACTTCCGTTTATTCACCACCAGAGGTCACCCTTTCCATTTCATTGACTCTCGCACAACACAAACTGTTACATATCCCATCATACTTTGCACGATTTGCACACTGCACTGATTGCACACAGCTGTTTCTAATCACCTCCCTCACTATATAACACCCACTCTAACCACATTTCTCTGCTGAGTATTGTTTAGCCTGTCCCCCTTTCCGAGGCTCCGTGTTTTCCTTGTTTGGCCTTTCCTTGCCTGTTTTTGCGGTTTTTGATCTTTGCCTGTTTTCCTGTTTTTTTCCCTCTCGTCTCGCCCCTGTGATTCTGTCTGCCGATCGGTGACCTATGCTAGCCCTAGGACTATTCTTGTGTTTACCTGTTTGCCATTGTTTGACCATGCCTGTTTACCACATCTCTCTATTAAAAGCTTGCAGATGGATCCACACGTCTCACGTCTCGTCAGCCCCGTTACACTTATTCATATTTGCACATATTCCATCTTGGTATGTGAAGATACATCAGGTTTGATGTACATGCTGATTTTAACTGGTTGCAATGTACAAAGCATGAGATCTGTGCGCTACACTGTAAAAATGTTTGTACTTTTAACAGTAAAACACTGTCAAAATTTGCGGTAAATTTCCTTAATATTTATGGTGAAGAACTATAATAGATCTAAAGTGGTGTAGGGTTTTTATTATTTATTAGCTCTAAAAAGGGAAATATTTATGACAAATTATAACTGGTTATGATTCATAATAAATATTTAGATTATATCAGTGTTTTATGGCTTTAACTAATACAAATAACGAGTGGTAACTCAGCTAATCTAATAGGGAAACATACAAACAACACATGCAATATACCAGATATATTTGTAGAGTATAATAGAGTAACGGTCTTTATGTGTGTGTGTGTGTGTGTTAGTTTACTTGGCCAGCCAGGCCCATCGGGGTCATTTACAGCTCTTTGGGACCGTGTTTGAAGTCAGATCCCCCAAGATGATAGTGGGGGCTGGTTAGAATCTCCTTGACGGCGAGGAACCATTTGGCAATTTAAAACCCCTATACAAACGTAAAGTCTCTGACCAGAACTGTAATTTATATGCAAATGTCAAAAGGCTAAAAGGGTCCCCCTTAAGCCATAAACACCCAAAGATCATGCATGATTCTACGCAGACGCTACAGTGGCATTACAGTAAAATACTGTTAAATACATTTTATTTATTTATTTATTTAAAGTAATAGATAATAATTAAATAATAGGGGGGTTATATGTATATATAGTTTTTATTCATTTTTATTTGAGTTTTAGTTTTAGTTAAGAAACTTGAGTATAGTGTACATGTCATTTTGGCAACTTCAGTGCTTATTAGAACCAGACGATGCACCATCAAAATTAATAAATGTTTATTTAGAACCAGAAAAAAAGGTTGAACCAGGTCGGACGGTCAGTTTTTACGGCCTGACTCGGAGGCCATCTCTCCTCACACGAGGAGCCTGAAATGGCATCTTAACTGTGTCAATGTCAGCGCATTTGCTCTGCCTCGTGGTCCACATCTCAGAGCGTGCCAGAGAGACAGACAGATAGAAAGAAAGAAAGAAAGAAAGAAAGAAAGAAAGAAAGAGAGAGAGAGAGCGTGTGACTTTGGAAGGAAGTATAATTAGTCTTTCCCTTCCAGGAGAAGGCCTTTTTTAACAGAAGTTCTCCTCACGTGGGGGCGACCTGGTTTCACTGCCCCAGTTGGCTGTAAGGCTCTGAGCGCAGTGCTACCGTTCCACCTTCTTCAGCTCAAACACCGCAGGACTGGGACGCTTTCAGGCCCTTATGGCCTGGCTACATTAAACTACTTGAGTGGGCTTTTTTACTGTAGTTTTTATGCATCACGTTCACTCATTTAGAGATTTAGAACAGATTAACTTTATACATTCCATCACAGGTAAGAGTTTTATCACTTACCAGCATATCAAAGATTAAAATGCTTCCGATTCAATGACAAAAGATTTTAAGCTCAACAGCAATCGTGGCACTAAGTTTATATTGTTATAAGACTGTAAGACACCGAGAATAGTGTGAAATTATCATGCAACAGTCTTTTCTGTGTTAAGCTACAGTCTTTTAGCTTTAATGCCATGACCCTTGAAAAGCTGGTAAACAGCAGTCATTTTCACAACATGCGCAACTCAAAAAAGGATGATTTTGACAACTTCACAGATCAAAAATGCATTTTTGTCACTAAATAATCATGATAAATGCACAAACATTGTAACTTTGAGATAGTGTTGTGTGTGTATATATATATATATATATATATATATAACACTTTCTCACTAATTCAAACTCTGGTTACACGTTTAAAATGCATGTAAAATGACCAGTGATTCAAGTAATGATGCATTCAAGCGAAAAACAATTACTTTTGCCAGACCTGCCAATGGCAAGTGAATTTATTACACGGGATCAGACAAGACTAATGTTCCTGATTATGTCACCACCACGAAACAATTAGACGGCATCACAATCAAAAAACCTTCTCAATATGTCACGTCACTGTAATAGAGAGAAATTTGTTGAAATAGATACAGGCTCTCTGATGAATCAACAAATATGTCTACGTTTAAGATGAAGAGAAAAACTCTTGGAGCAAGTAGTCTGAAAATGAAAGTAAGCCAAATTTAGGGGGGTAAATCTCATTGCACAGGTCATATTTCACTCCAGAATTAAAACAAAAGTATATTTTGCCTAAATAAAATTAGGTTTATTTCTAGGAGCCAAAAGATATTAAGATTCCTGATTATTTTCAAGACAATTAAACACATATTCATAAAAAAAAAAAAAAATGTAGCTGTTATATATAATATA